GGCCCACCCCCAGCCCGGCGGCCAGCTCCTCTGCCCCCGCCAGCCCCGGGGAGACAAGGCCCGACCCAGGCTGGCCCCGCGGCCAGACTCACCATGGCTCCACAGCCCCCAACTCAGCAGTAGCTGAGACGTCGCTCTCTGAGCCCAACTGACCGACGTGGAGCTTCCGGCCCTGCAGCTCTCGCGACATGTAGAACGAAAACGAGAACACCGTACACAAGCGTTTCCGCATCTCAAACATCGCGGGAACAAGACTGCTTGTTCCCATGGCGTCTGTGGGGGCCCGATGCACCTACCTACAGTACTTAAATCAATCTACGACGCAGTATCAGCTTCTCCCGGAGGGAGGGGGTGCGGCTATCAACCCCCAGGAGCGGGGCCTAGTAGGAACTAGAGTTCGTTGGAGAAGCATGCTGGGACATGTAGTCTTTGCACCATGAATCGCGAACAGCAGCATAGGTCCGGTGTGTCGCGGTGCATGCTGGGAACTGTAGTTTCCATAAGGGAGGGAAACGAGGAGTTGTCATGGCCGCCGCTGCCTGCCTGATAAGGATTAGGGCCTCCCTTCATCATCCCTGCTACAGAAGCGGTGGCCTGTTTGTTCACATAGTGAGCGCGACCCTCTGCCCCGCCCCAGCGCAGAGCCCTGCACTGATGTTCCCCAGAGTCCCTGGCACTGGAGATGCATGCCTATGGCAGGCAGGACGTGCCCGTGTGTTCCCACAGGCCTGGGGTTGGCAGCTTTCTAATCAGGTAAAACTGACCACCTTAGCTCCACCTCTTCTCAGAGGCCCCGCCCCCGCTCTCCACATTCTCCCTCCCTTAGTGGCTCACTGTCCTCCACTCTCACTGGGCTGGGGCAGGGGGTTGAGGTGGGAGTTGGTGAGGGCTCTAACTGAGGGTATAGACTCCAGGGTGGGGCCAAAAATGAGGGGTTCCAGGTATGAGAGGAGGCTCTAAACTGGGGCAGGGAGGTGGGAGGGGGTGCAGGCTCGGGGTGGGGGGACTGAGGATGAGAGGTTTGGGGTGCAGAAGAGGGCTCCAGGCTGGGGAGTGGGGCTAGAGATTCAGAGTGTGGGAGGGGGCTGCAGCTTGAGGCAGGGGGTTGGAGCATAGGAAGGGGTGAGGGCTCTGGGCTGGGGGGTACAAGCTCTAGGGTGGGGCTAGGGATGAGGTGTTTGGGGTGCAGGAGGGGGCACCAGGCTGGGGCAGAGGGATTCAGAGTGTGGGAGGGGGCTGCAGGTTGAGGCAGGGGGTTGGGGTGCAGGAGGGGGTATGGGTTCTGGGCTGGTGATGAGAGGTTTGAGGTGCAGGAGGGGGCTCCAGGTTTGGGGGGCTCAGGGCTAGGGCAGGGGGTTGGAGCGCAGGCTTACCTCGGGCAGCTCCTGATCAGCGAGGCTAAGGCAGGCTCCCTGCCTGTCCTGGCCCCGCAAGCGGCCAGCAGGTCTGGCTCCAAGGCGGGGGGGGACCAGGAGGCTCCACGTGCTGCTCTCACCCAGAGGCACCCCCCCCTTCCCGGCCAGTGGGAGTGCGGAGCTGGTGTTCAGAGCAGGGGCAGCACGTGGAGCTCTCCGTGCCCCCCCTGCCTAGGAACCAGACCTGCTTGCCGCTTCCAGGGTGCAACGCAGAGCCAGGACAGGTAGGGACTTGCCTGCCTTAGACCCACAGCACCGCCGACCAGACTTTTAACAGCCCAGTCTGCAGTGCTGAGCGGAACCACCAGGGTCCCTTTTCAACTGGGCATTGCAGTCGAAAACCGGACACCTGGCAACCCTACACAGGCCATGGTGCCTCAGGCTGCCCCCAGAGCCAAGGTCATGCAAGCTCCCTCACCTTTCATCCCTTGTTGAGGTGCCTCTGAGACCTTGTCCACCCACTTCCCCAAGAACCTTAGTTTGGGTCCAGTCTCATCACTCAGGTTCCTCTATTTAGCAGACAGCATAGTGATGCTGAGTTGATCAGACTCAAACACGAGGGGTGGGTATAGGGCAGAGGTGGGCAAACTACAACCCGCAGGCCACATCCGGCCCGTGGGACCATGCTGCCCAGCCCTTGAGATCCCGGCAGGGGAGGCTAGCCCCCGGCCCCTCCCCTGCTGCCTCAGCTCGCCGTGCCACCAGCGCTCTGGGTGGCAGGGCTGCGAGAGACGCCGGCCTGCCCCGGTGCTCTAGACTGTGCAGTGGTGTGACTGGCTCTGGCTGGGCAGCACGGCTGCCAGCCGTGGTGCTCTGAGTGGCATGGTAAAGGGGTGGGAAGCGAGGGGGTTGGATAAAGGGCAGGGAGTCACGGGGACAGGGAGCGGGGGGGGGTTGGATAGGCGTGGGAGTCCTGGGGGGCCTGTCGGGGACAGGGGTGTGGATAGGGGTCGGGGCAGTCAGGGGACGGGGGGATTGGATAGGGGGTGGGGTCCCGGGAGGGCAGTTAGGGCGGGCGGTCCTGGGAGGGGGTAGTCAGGGGACAAGGAGCAGGGGGGCTTGGATGGGTCGGAGGTTCTGAGGTGGGCAGGAAGTTGGAGGGGGCTGATAGGGGGCGGGGGCCAGGCTGTTTGAGGAGGCACAGCCTTCCCTACCCACCCCTCCATACAGTTTCGGAACCCCGCTGTGGCCCTCAGGCCAAAAAGTTTGCCCATCCCGGTATAGGGCGTAACACACACTCAAAGTCACACAGCAAATCTTCCTTTATAACTTTACATTCCATTTGTTTCACTTTGATCACTTTGTAGGAACCAATCTCCGTACACAATGCGCTGTCCCTGCATATCTTGTACCTCATCTTATGTTCCAGGCTTATTTTATCCATTGTTATCTTGTCCACTATAAATGGTTCCCTGAGTGTTCACCCCATCTTAGCTAGTACAAATATTATGTTTCCAGCCTGCTGATCCATTTATCTCCCTTATCCTGTCTCCCAAGAAATGGGGCCTCATCCAGGTCCACTTACTCATCTCAAGCCAGGCCTACAGCTGTGAACTGGCGCCACTATGAATCAGGCTCAGAATAGCAATGCCATGCTAGCCCTCTCATTGTGCCTCCATTCACAAACCCGAGAGGGTAGATGAGTCTCTTTGCCCATGTAGTTTTTTGCTTCTCCAGCGAGAGACTGTTAACGCAAGCTAAATGTGATGGCGTTTTATGTGCTGTAAGGAACTGTCCACTTACACTGCACTGAAAGGCTTTCAACCCATTTCACGAAAGTCTTGCATAGATACTTCAATATTCATGTACTTTAAATTGCTACAGAGCTGGGCCAAATTCAAATTAGCAACCAAAATGCAAAAGGTTGTTGTGTCATCTTGTGGCTTAATACTATGCCCATGGCAACCCAGAACAAAATTAAATAGAAACGGTACAATCAACGTCAGATTTCTACTCAAACACAACACCACTGTGTGATAAACCGTCACTGTTCGTTTCCACTTGCACTGTTGCCAGAGGACTTACAACCCTGTCTCTAGTAAATTACAAAGATCATTTGAGTCTAGCAATGAAGGAAATAATTACAAGACTGACCATTTTTAGCTCTAATTTCACAATTATTTCTCTTATGGATACTGCTCAAATACCCAAATCAGGATTGGAATCCCACTGTGCTGGACACTGTACAAACACAGAAGAAAAACAGTACCTGCTTTAGAGCATTTACAGTCTGAAAGCCACAAGAATGCCTGGGATCATGTCGAGGCTGGGTTGGTAGGCTGGTTTTTCCCCAGCCTGCTTTTTACCCAAAAATAAGAGAAATCAAAACAGTCTTGTGTTTTTACTGGTTAGGATATATAGTAACTCCTCACTTCATGTTGTCCCTGTTAACATAATTTTGTTGCTGATCAATTAGGGAACAAGCTTGTTTGAAGTTGCACAATGCTTCCTTATAATGTAGTTTGGCAGCTGCCTGCTTTGTCCACTGCTTGCAGGATTCTCTGGAAGAGCAGCCCCTCCTTGTGGG